AGGACACCTGTACTGTCCACGCTACTGTTGCTATTCCCATGGTGACACTTGTGCTAACGCTGATACTGTTCCTGCTGCTGATGCGATTGCGTATACTTACATTCACAGTTATGCATTTAGCAGACGCTTTTATCCAAAGCGACTTACAGAGGAGGATTACCATTAACATACATGTGATCCCTGCTGTCCAACTAACGTTGATCCCTACAATGTTCCTGCTGCTGATGCTAACACTGATGCTGCCAAGAGGTTTGTTTTCAGAGGATTGGCCGGTTTGAATCCCAGCTCCAGTAGAGCTGCACCAACTCCACTACTTATTGGACCTTGTTCTTTGAATGTATAGTTTTCAAAATGGAGAAATTAGATTTTTTTTTACAAAATAAATTTGTCTCCCACACAGAGCTTTTTAAACCAATGTTAAAAATATCTTTAAATATTACTGAATGACAAACATATCACCTACGGAGGCTTTAACCCTTTAACTGTTAAAACATTCATGTATATTTTTTAAACTCAATATTTGTAATATAAACTTTTTTAATGTGATGTTTCTTCAGAGTCTGGTCTTCAGCACACTGAGCTGTGAAATTTAATCCACATTCCTTTATGTGGACCATAAAAACAGCCGCAGTTGAAGTTTGACACTGTTGAAACAACAAGATCAAAGAAAATACATTCCATTTTCTTGCCGTCCTGATTTATGGAGCCTGTGTGTGTGTGTGTGTGTGTGTGTGATAAAGAGAGAGAGAGTTAACACACTGCCACAGATTTCAGTCCTGAAACTCTCTGAGCTCAGTTCTGCTCCTCATCTCCTGATATTAGATATAAAAATATAGACCAATCATCTGAGCCACAGGAGACACTGTGTTACCAGGCAGAAAGGAAGGCAGGAAAATAAAACAGAGCTCATGAAAGGATGATGGTGGGTGGAGGATTTCTCATTTCTTTGTCAATTTAATTAAGATTAGTTTAAAGAGATTTTCTTTAGATTTCAGAAAAGGTCCAAACATCCTGTTTTAGTTAAGAAGAAACTCAAATTGCTGATTTCCTTTGCGGAGAGTCAGGTGTTGAAATCTGTCATTGCTTGATGACTTAACCATCTTGTTTTAGTTAACGGTCGATGTTTGTTTTAGAAGAAACTCAAATTGCTGATTTCGTTTGCGGAGAGTCAGATGTTGAAATCTGTCATTGCTTGATGACTTTGGTTAGTAAATCTGTATATCCATGAATAATGTCACAATCTGTTTGAAACTTCTTTTTTGTTTTTTTGAACAAGAACAGATTAAAAACTGGCCACTCTTTCACACCAAATCCATGGAGAAAACCAGTTGTTTTCTTCACAGATGTGTTGAACTGTTTTCATCAATAGGTCTGATGTCTTTAAGACGTATGCATTTGAACTTAAATCTCTGGTTTTCCCAATGGGGTTTGGTACATGTTATGCAAATTCTCCAAGATTGAAGTAACCTGCTGTCTCACCACACACACACACACACACACACTTCCCTCAGTGTTTCTGTGGAAGACTTCTTTCACCTGCTGCTCAGATCTGTTCACACACACCTACACACCACATTCATGGGAAACTGCATTTGAATCTGTTATTATTAGTGTTCTCAGCCAAAACTGGTGTGAGATCATGACTAAAATTTGCACACACACGACTGAACTTGATTTTGTTTATCCTATCAATTTCCAGAGGGAATCCACACAGTTGCAACTTTGCACAATAAAACAAAAGTATATCAATCATTCTCTTCAACACTGGAACTGTTAATCTGCTGCTGCGTCATGAATTATGGTTAAACATGATGTACTGTGACTTTGATGTTTTTTTTTTTTAATGATTTGCCTCAGTGGTAGTAGCAGTCCGATTATCCAGTGATAAAGCAGCTGCCTCTGTGTCTCAGTGAGCTAAAAGCTCCGATTTTCTGTAGGGGATTTGGCGCAGGAGGGTCTCCTGCTGGCTTTGAATGCACGGCTTATACTGTAGCTGTCTGTCTGTGACTGAGAGGTTATTATGACTATAGTAATATTATATATATATATATATATATATATATATGCTTCAATTAGCTCAGGAAATGATCTTTTAAACAATTATTTGGCAAATATTTGGCTTCATAGTCGTGCATTAATATACTGTGAGGTCCAACCTTGGACCAGAGCAAAGGGACGTGGAGACACTCACCATTGCTGTGACTGCTGTTGTCTTTGTCCCAGGCCTCAACTATCACGGTGTAGGCTCTCTGAAAAAGAAAAGGAGAGGACGCAGATTATTACAGGACACACACACACACACACACACACAGGTCTTGTTACCTTCACAGGCCCAGGTGTAAACACGGTGTGAAGTTTACACAGAAACTCAGATATGAGTCACTGTCACTTATAAACAGTAGAACTTTGGAACACGTGCACACACCTACGTGCACACAAACACAATGAGGTGTGAAGGATGGTGGGAAAGAGCCTGTGGTTCCCACACTACTGCTGCTGCTGCTGTCACTGATTATCTCCATCCACCTGAGGCCAGTGAGGATCGGCGTTTGTGTTTGTACCTGCAGACGCCATCAGTGCTGCAGACACTTCCTGTCAATCATCAGCTGTCTGGGCTGCACCAAACCGCACATTAGACCCAGACGATGATTTTCTTCCACTCCTGTCTGTTCTCTCTCTGACCCCATTACCACAGTGGGATCGTTCATGTGAGAGTTGTCTCGGCTCCATAGAGAGGGTGGATCTGAGCTGACGTCTGGCCTGGAGGCACGTTCTGTGGTCATGTATGGAAATGAATGGAGGAAATCCATCTTTCTGCACTAACTCGCCGACTCCACTATCAATAGAATCTAATATCAATGTTCAAGAGCTAGCAATTTCATTTCTCACTGTATATTTTTGCTTTTAGATTATTTTTATTCATACTTCATATTACCACTGAGATGTCAAGTATTTTTAAGTATTGTGTTCATTTCTGGCTAACTCTTTGCCTGTCTTTGGCTTACTCTTAAAAGGTTTTTGGCTAACTGTCAGCTTTTCTTTGTTTATTTGATTGATTTCTTTTATGTAAGTCTTAAGAGTTTTTCATTAACTCTCACTAGGTTGATTTGGTTACCATCGCATACCTGTTTACTCTTAGCTGCTTTTCCCAGAATATGTTGACAATTGCATTTAAATTACATTTTATAAATATTTGCTTGTTGCTGTATATATGTAATTCTAACAGTTCTAACTCTTTGGTTTTTATTTAAAAGTGTGCCTTTGCCTTAAACTACTTTAAGCCACCTGAGCTATGTTTACTTTACACTCTGGCTTTGTTTCAGCTATTTTTGATTTTCCATAAACCTTTAGTCATTTACATTTAAGACCATTTGTAGCTACTTTTGCCATCATCTGTAGTTGTCAATATATCTGAATTACAGAAATGTCACAGACAAACAGCTTTACTGTAAAAAACAACATGTACAAGTAAATGTGACGATTGTTGTTACTTCAGTGGTTGGACATTTGATTAATGTTTGATCACTGTAACCTTAACTCAGACATAACAAACACATAATAAACTCCGGACACAAACATTTTCTTCTGTGAATCTGTTGAAGATGACCCTTGTCAGTATCCACCTCTGAGATGAACTGTGTCCTACTTTCCATGAGCAGACATTTTCTCACAGAAACAAACTAATTGTTTCAGGTGCCGCCTGTTTTTTTTTTCCTCTCTCATCAAACAAACCAAGTCAGGGCTCGCCGTCCGTCAGCAGCATGAGATCGGACGAGCAGCTGTGAGTTCCCATGACCTGGGTCTGACTTAGACCTGACTGCGGTCTGCAGGAGAAGATTAGAGGACATGATAGGAGAGGGAGGGGGCGCTGAGGAGCTGCTGCTGCTGCTGCAGTCACAGATTATAGGCATGAGGGGGAAAAGAGTCACACAGACATGAAACGAGCAGGTAGCGCTGAGAACTAAAGTGCTTTACAGTTGTGTAAAGTTAATTTTATGGTGTTGTAATGGCAGGTCAGTGGGAGTGCTGGGGGCTGGGAATTCTCAGAGTGGGAAAGACTGGAAAAATGACTGGGAAGAGACAAAGTCCTGTCAGTACAGGAACCTTCACAACCAGAGTTTAGGAGCCATTTGGACAATTAGCAGTCCTCACTGCCTTTACTGCAGGTCAGTTCTCCTGCCTGGACAGGTTTTATTTGGCCTTGACGTCAGGATTTTGAGGGTTTTCTTCTTTGTTATACTGTGTGTATAATACTTAAATTCATTTATGGAATCAATTTTGTTACACTTTGTAATGATGGTTAACTTTCAGCAAACTTAACTTTAAAATAAATATTTCCAACCAGACAAGTACTTGGTTTCCTTTAGCTGTTTTTTCTTTGGTTTTAACTTAGGAACCAGTTCATTTTAGAAGGGATGAATCTCCATACATGGGAGAAAGGGATAGTAATTTATGACCCATGACACGAGCAAAAAGTCTGTAGGTGATTAACAGAAATTGACATCATCATCACTATCTTCATCATCTCCATCACCATCGTTATCACCAATACTTTCATCATCTCTTCGTCATTCTTGTCCCTCCAGTAATTATTTCAGTAGTCACAGCTGGGCCGGCCCCTCAGGGCTCCCAAGGACAACAGAGAGACATGTACAGGAAGTTGTACATTGTCTTGAAAAGTGGTGTCTATGTGTATAGGATGTGTAATAGTGGTAGTTGTGTCACTGGGAGGCTGGGTGACACCTGAGCCCCTGACCAATTTTCAGCAGCCAGAGAAGATTTGAATTTTCAGTAGAGGAGAAGAAAGGAGGCTCTGGGCCCTGACTGTCTCCATATGTTCACTGAATAAATATGTTTTTACTAATGCTGCTGCTGCTGCTGCTGCTGAGGCTGGTACTGCCGCTGGTGCTGGTGGCTGCGTAGGGTGTGTGCGC